TCCACTGGGCCACCTAGCTGCCCCTCTTTCTTTCTTTCTTGGCAAAGATACTGGAGTGATTTGCCATTTCCTCTTTTACCTCATTTCACAGATGAAGAAACTCAGGCAAACGGGGTGAAGCAACTTGCCCAGGGTCACACAGCTAGTAAGTGTCTGAGGCTCAAGAAGTTGAGTCTTCCTGACTCTAGGCCTGGACCTCTATCCACTGCACCACCTAGCTGCCCCCAAAGCTTTGTTTCTTATTAAGATTCAAATACCCTGGAGACTAGGGGCAGGGTGGTCCCACTTTGGATTGGCAATACTTTAGGATAAATTAATTTATCAGACCCTTTTCCTTTGAGCAGTTTTCATAGATGGAAGGAGGGAAAGGCTTTGGGCCTCTGAGAAGAGTTAAGTGGGAGGCTAAGGAAACTAGACTAACTTTGCAGACTTAGAATTTTGCCCACGATTGGACCTGGTCCTTAGGCTGAGTAATTTCTGCTCCTGACTTCCCAACACCCAACATGGCCACTGAGACGCAGTTAGCTTGACTGACAAGGCTAGAGCCTGTTTGTAGGTCAATAGAAAGGGAAACCACAGGACTGTCTTTTGTCAGAAAGCAAGCACAAAAATGGGAAGTTTCTTTTAAATGATCTGATCTCTTGGTTTTATTTCTCTCAGAAATGAAAAGTTTATTATACTATTGTTATAGCCTCCTAACCGATCCCCTACCTCCACTTCCTCCTACATTTATCTTTGGTTTCTACATCACCTTCATTTTTTCCTAATATATACGTTTTCCCACTTTGACTCCCAGTCACCCATTCTAGCAAAGAAGTAAAAATAAGCAGTTCAATGAAACCAACATATTAATACAACACTCCTACTTCCAATGCATCCTTCACATAGTCACCAGCGATACTTAGCTCCAATCATGCAAAAACCTGGTCAAAACATTAATGGCACTGGAGTTGGGGTCAGGAAGACCTGCACTCAAATCCCACTTAAGGCATTTAATATTCATTCAATCTTGGATAAATCATTTAGCTGCTGCTCTTTGCTTTAGTTTCCTCATTTGTAAAATGAGGGGTTTCAAATTCCTTCCAGCTCAAAATCTGTGATCTTATGACCTGCCTTTGTACTTTTATCTCCCACTACACAAACTCTCTTCTGAAGCCAAATGGGTTTATTCATCATCCTTATGCTTTGCAACTACCTCACTTTTGCTCATGCTGTTCCTTATGCCTAGAATGCCTTCCTCTTCGACTTAGCCTTTATCTGTCTATCAATATCTTCCCCACATTCAGTGCCCAGCTCAGATGCCACCCCAGCTGGAAGGAGTCTCTCTCTGTCTCTGTCTCTTTCTCTCTCTCTCTCCCTCCCTCCCTCCTTCCCCCTCCCCCTTCCCCCCTCCCCCTATCTCCTCCTTCACTCTGACTTTTTCTCCTCTAAAAAATGGTAACCCATTTTCCTTACCATTCATATAACCTTCAGTACAGCGTATGTGTATGTGTGTGTGGAGAGAGAGAAATATAGAAATATAAAAATTGTATAAAACATGAACAACAAATATATAAACAATATTTAATATAATATAATAAATGTGATGATAAATAATATATTAAATATCTTGTGTAAATGTATAGATATATATGAAAATACACAGTATATATAGTATGTGGTATGTGAATATATATACCCACAATTTTGTATACATAATAAATACAATATACAATATTGCATTTATTATACAATGTTATAGACATAATAAATATACAATATACAGTACAACATAATATTATACAGTATTATAGACATAATAAGTATTTGTTATATTACCATGGACTATCCCATATTATATGTCTCATTCTAGCCTACACCCCCAAACACACACACTCACACATACACACATGATTATTATCTTCTTAAAGACAAGGCCTCCTGTGTGTCACATAACAGGGGCTTAATAAATGTTTGTTGGCAAACTTATTTGGTGGTGAACACTTGAGTTTAACAGTTCTAAAAACTTGAGCTTCTAGAAGAATTGAAGGACACCTCGCTCACACGAGGCCGTAGACAAGCCCATCTCTTTTTTCCTTCCCAGTGCTGAACTTTATTATAACTACTTTCCTACTTTGTTAATATATTCTCTCTTGACAGGTTCTTCCTCTGTCTGTCATCTCTTATATTCTCCCAAGTGCAATTATATCGCAGAATCTGAATACTTGTGTTTCCTCTTCCATTCCTTTTTGTTCCTTCTTTCTCCTTTAGACACATATACCCCACCCCAGTCTCTACTCCTTCCACCAGCTTTTTATTCCATTATATACGTCTGTCTTGCTTTCCTTCACCAATCATTTCTTTTTTATTTAATTTAAATTTTCCTTTTTATCATGCACCAAACAGTCCTAAACAAGCATGAATATTTTGGTATAAAAAGAACAACAAGAGTGCATATGAAACGGTCAACTTCTATTATGCATAGTTTGCTGTTGTTTTAAGTGCATATTAAATTGAATGTAGATTTAGAGCTGGAATAACCCTTAAAGGTCATCTCATCCAACACCCAGATTTTAAAGAGGAGGAAACTGAAGCCAAGAGAGATTAAGGGCTTGCTCAAGTTTAGAAAAGTCGTAAGTGCCAGACAGGGCTTGAACTCTACTCCTCTGACTCCAGAGCAAGTGCCCTTTGCCTTGTACAGAGTAACTCCACCAAAGTGGCCCGGTTTGTTTGCATCCCCTTATGACCTTTTCCCCCCACTTTTTGACTAATCATTTTACAAAGTTCCTTCAATGGCTTAAGAATCTCCCCTCTCTGTCACAGGAAAGCCCACCCAGCCTCTACCCAGGGATCTCCCTAATATCCCTGGGAAAGGATAATAAGCACTGCGTGATGTGGGAATCACAGGCAAAAAAGTATAGGTCTCCTGACCTGTACTTATAGGCCACTATAAGTCTCCAGTGGAATTGGGGCTCGAGTATCCTAACTCAGAGTCCTGGCAAGCCAGCCATCTTGTATTCCCTTGCATACAATTAACAAATTCCATCACCTGCACGTCTTTCCCATCTATATCCCCCATCTTATTCACCTTACTCTGAAATGCCTCTACCCAAACCCTACCTCCTTTTCTGTCCTTCTAAGCCTTTCGTCTCTTTAAAAAATCCAGTTAAAAGCTTGGCTCCAGGATATCATTTCTGATTACTGCCCTGCTCTGATTACTCTTTTATTCTGTTTCCTCAGTACTAATGAATATAATTTATATTACATGATAACTTATGGCTACAGAGTACTTTTTATTCGTTGTTGTTTATTGTCCGACTCTGAGACCCTGTTTGGGATTTTCTTGGCACAGATATTAGAGCGGTTTGACATTTCCTTCTCAAGCTCATTTTACAGATGAGGAAATTGAGGCAAACAGGGTTAAATGATTTTCCCAGGGTCACATAGCTAGTAAGTGTCTGAAGCCAGATTTGAACTCAGGAAGATAAGTCTTCCTGACTCCGGGCCTAGCACTCTTTCCACCGTGCCACTTAGCTTCCCTGATATATACATTGTCTTATTTGTTCCTCATAATGACCCTATGAGAAAGGAATGGCATTTTACAAATGGGAAAATTGAGGCTCAGAGAGATTAATTTGCCAAGGTCACACAGCCAGTAAGTGACAGAAAAGCCAAGCTCAAGTCTTCTGGTTCTAAGTTGCTGTCATAGCTCATTCTGTAATTCTTTTCCTGTTAATAAATCAATGACTCCAAGTACTAGGAATGGTGGCAAATCCTAGGGATACAAATTCAAAAATGAAATTTGATTCTATTGCGGGTTGCTAGAACATGTTCATGGATCAGGAAATATCTAATATACAAAAAAAATTAGCAGTGTTTGAAGGGAGGGGGACACTGACAGTTTGGGAGGATCAGGAAAGGCTTCTTCAAAGAGCTCACACTTGATCCAGGCCTTGAGGGGGTTCCAAGAAGGAAAGATGAGGAGGGAGAGGATTCTTCCTACTCATGGGGGTTAGCCTTTTTCACACATGGATGCTCCATCTCTTCTACTACTGCCACTACCATCAGTAATCATAATAATAACAGAGAGAGAGAGGGACGAAGGGGAAGGAATAAGTACTTCTTTAGTGCCTACTATGTGCCAGGGGTAGCTAGACAGCTCAGTGGTTAGAGTGTTGGGCCTGGAGTTAGGAAGACCTGAGTTCAAATCCGGCCTCAGGCACTAGCTGTGTGACTGGGCAAGTCACTTAACCTTTATTTGCCTTAATCCACTGGAGAAGGAAATGGCAAAGCATTCCCATATCCTTGCCAAGAAAACCCTATGGTCTTTAGGCCCAGCACTCTATCCACTGCACCACTTAGCTGCCCATTACAAATATTACCTCATTTTTAATCTTACAAGAACCCTGGGAGGTAGGTGCTTTTATTATTCCATTTTACAAATGACAAAACTGAGGCAGACTGATTAAATGACTTACCCAAGGTCACACAGCTAGTTAGTGTCTGAGGCTGGATTTGAACTCAGGTTTTCCTGACTCCACGCTCAGCAATCCATCCACTATACCATCTAGCTTAAACTAAATTTTTAAGATCTTTGGATCGGAAACCTCTTTTGTTCTTCTTGTGTCTCTATCATGATCCCAGGTAATAGCATTCCCCAAATAGTTTGATAAATACTTGGGATCACAGGTTCTTACATTTAGAACTAGTAGGCGTCTTGGAGGTAATCTGATCCAATCTCATTTTACAGGTGTGGAAACTAGGGCCCAAGGACAATTAAGTGACTTGCCCAGGGTCCTGCAGGTCTTAAGGTACCAAGCCAAGATTCAAATCCAGGTCTTCCGACTCTAAATTCAATGCTTTTCCCACCACTCCATGAAGCCTTGCTAATGGTAGTGAATTTCATACAGTTAGTCAATCAGCCTTTAATATTTTCTGTTGTTCTTTAGGAAATTATCTCATATTCCTTTCAGGGTCTTTTGTCTCACTTCATTTTTTTTCTCATGTGTTCTTGGCTTCAGGATGCATCTCTTTGCTGGTGACGGTACAGGATACCGAACGCTATGTCACACTGTTTGCCTCCATCGTCCTCAAGTGTGATTATACCACATCTGCCCAGCTGCAGGATGTGGTGGTCACCTGGCGCTTCAAGTCCTTCTGCAAGGACCCAATTCTAGATTACTACTCTGCATGTGAGTGTTTTCCCCAGTCCCTTCCCTCTCCACCCCACAAAAGCCTTCCTCCTATGCTTGTGAGTCAAGAGTTATGGAAATTAACTGAGAGCATCTTCCTGGCTTCAGTCTAAAGGAGGATGCTTTCTTTGGGGTCTATATCCAGATATATTTGCTCTCTTCCTTTCCCTTCTCCATGAAGATTTGTTAAGTTTTACTAGACCATAAGCTTCATGAGGGCAGAGTTCATGACATACCCAAACTCTCTACCTTTTCTGTCACCTCGGCCATGAAGTACAAGCTTAATAAATGGGGACTCAAAAGTATTTACTTTCATGCACTTAGGCTACAGAGTTGGAGGAGAGAGACCTTGGAAGGTGTCTAATACAGCTTCTATCCAGAACAACCATCTTCACTTCCACTTTTCTGACAAATTGGTGAAAGAGAAAAGTCCCATATACGTAAAAATACTTATAATAGCCCTTTTCCTAGTAGCAAAAAACTGGAAGTAGTCTGGGTAAACATCTGTTGGGGAATGGCTGAATAAATTGTGATATATGAATGTAATGGAAAATCATATGAAACAATGAATATGAATAATTGAGAGGAACTTGTGAAGGTTTATATGAAGGGGCACAGAGCAAAGTAAACACAACCAAAAGATCAATTCACACGATGACCATTGTAAAGTAATGAGAAAAAAATGGAAAAACTTCAGAACTCTAGACAAAGAAGCAGCGATCACAGAGAACCAGTATTCCTTCATTAAGCACAGATCATGGCAACCTGAGTTCCCTTCCCCTTTTGGCAGAGTTTACTAGGCTACTAGACCAAAGGAATTATAACGTATATAAATTTCAACAAAACATTTGGCTGAATCTTTTGTTATCCTGGCGGACAAAGTAGAGATGAGTAAGATGATAGCAAAGTTGACTAATTTAGAAGTGATGGAAAGACCAGAACTAATGAGCAGTCACTTAAAGGTCCGTGTCAATATAAAGGGATGTCTCTAGTGAAGTACCCTAGGGAATCTCTTGTTGGCCCTGAGCTAATTAAAAGTTTCATTAATAATTTGCGTAAAGGTCTAGTGGGCATGCTCATCAAATTTGAGAGGGATAACAAACACATTAAGTGAAAATCAGGTTTCAAATTTCAGCAGGCTAGAATATTTGGGCAAATATAACAAACTGAAATGTAATAGTGATTAACATAAGGTCTTACCTTTAGGGTAAAAAAATCAACTTCACATATACAAAATGGGAAGTATGACTAGATGGCAGTTCTTGATTTTGTTTTTGTTTTTTTTTTTTGATGGTTATTTTAGTGAGCTTCATGCTCAAGGAGTTAGTAGTGTGTTGGCATTTAAAAAAGCAATAGAAATATTTTTTTAAAAAATCTTTTTAAAATACATATTTATTTCATCGAATATTTCCCAATTATATGTTAAAAAAAATTTTAACTTTCATTTTTTAAAAATTTGAGTTCCAAATTCTTTCTCTCCTTCCTGCAATTCTTCCACCCCTTGAGAAGACAAGCAATTTGATATAAATTATACATGTGAAGTCATATACAACATATTTCCATCTTAGTCATGTTGCAAAAGGAAACATACCAAAAAAAAAAACCTCACACAAAATTTTTTTAAAAGTTTAAAAACTATGCTTCAGTCTGCACTCAAAATTCATCAGTTCTCTCTCTGGAGGTGGGTAACATTTTTCATCATGAATCCTTTGGAATTGTCATGGCTCATTGTCTTGATCAGAGTAACTAAGTCTTTTATAGTTGATCATCTTACAATATTACTGTTACTGTGTTCAATGTTCTCCTAGTTCTGCTCCCTTCACTTTGCATCTGTGCATATAAGAGTTCCCAGGTGTTTTCAAAGCCATCCACCTTGTCATTTCTTATAGCAAGCATAATAGTATTCCACACAATCATATATCACAGTTTGTTTACCCATTCCTCAATTGATGGGCATCGCCCCAATTTCCAATTCTTTGCCACCACAAAAAGAACTGCTATAAATTTTAAAAAAAAAGAATCTTAAGCCATATTAAGAGACTGAGTCTAGAACAAAAGAAGTAATAGCCTTGCTGTACTCTGTGAGACCACATTTAGAATACTGTGTTCAGCTCTGGGTGCCATGTTTTATTTTTAAATTTTTTATTGCTATCTTTTGCTTCTCATCACCTTTATTTCCAAATATAGCTTTTGCTTTTTCCTCCCCAGGAAGCCATTCCTTGTAATAAAGACTGAAAAAGGAATAAGGGGAGGAAGAATGTAGTTCAGAAAAACTAACCAACTTCAGCTGAGTCTAACAATAAATACATTGCTCCATACCCATTGTCTCTAACCTCTGCAAAGAAAATTCATAGTCTAAGAACTGGGAAGGACTTCAGAGGCTATTCAGTTCAGGAAACTGAAGACCTAAAAAGTAAATATCAGAAGTGGGATATAAACCCAAGTACTCGACTCAAAAGCCAATTTTTTCCCCTTACACAACACTTCTTTCTGAACTGAGAAATGTGCATTTTCTCATCTCTTTTTGGGGTTTAGGCCTGATTATTGCAATTACACAGTCTTTGGCTTCATTTTTTTTATTGTGGTCATTGTGTATATTGTTTTCCTTGTCTGCCTACTTCACTTTGTATCAATTCATGCAAGTCTTCCTCTGCATTCTTTGCAGTCATTGCTTCTTATGGCACCGTAATACTTGATTAAATTCACATATCACAATTTGCTTAACCATTTTCTAATTGATGGAAACACGTACCTCATTTCCATTTCTTAGCTCTTACTAACTGTTATGTTATATAGATATTCCTCAACTGGGGAACAGCTAGACAAATTGTATAACACATTAATTCAATAGAATATTAAATTAGTAATAGTAATATTAAATAGTACACTATTAAAATTATATTAATATTAAAATAGTACACTGTAAGAAATGACGAACATAAAGAATTTTAAAAAGCATGAGGAAGACTCCATGTGCTGATGCAAACTGAAATAAGCAGAACCAAGTAAACAATATACATGATGACTACAAATATTAATGGAAAGAAAAAAAAACAAAGCAAAGCAAAACTGAATGCTTTTTAATTATAATGATCAAGTTTGGCCACAAAGGAGAGAGGAAAAAAAAGTTTACTTCCTTCCCTTCTGTGCAGAAGTCAGAGGACTAAGGATTTAAAACATTTCAATCTAATCCAATGCAGTAAATATTTATTAAGTGCCTACTGTGTGCCAGGTACTGTGCTAAGTGCCTGGGATACAATTAATAAAAAAGAAAAACAATCCTCGCCTTCAAGGAGCTTACAGTGTAAAAGGGGAAGCAACACATAAAAGGAGACAAGAAAGGGGGGTGGAGGAGAACAGGACACCAGAGAGTACCCAGGGTCAGGGTGTCTTGTTCGGTGGAGTTGAAATCAGGCAGAACAGCAGATGCAAAGTGGAGAGAGTACGTTGCATATACTAAGACTCAGTCCATTGCTTACCTTTGCTGATCTTTTTATTTCTTTTTATTCATGGTTACTAGGGACTGCTCCCTGAGAAGGGGAGAGGAGAGGAATATATTTGGAGTCTCCTTAACCTCTCTGCAACCTTTGACACTGTTGATCACTCTTTCCTTCTTGATACTCTCTTCTCTAGGTTTTCCAGACACCACTCTCTCCAAATTCTCCTCTGCTTCTCTAACTGCTCCTTTTCTGGCTCTTTTGCTGGATCCTCTTCCAAATCACATCCTCTAACTGCATGTTGTCCCTTAAGGTTCTGTCCTGGGCCCTCTTCTCATCTCCCTCTATACTACTTCACTTTGGTGATCTCAGCAGTTCCCATGGATTTAATTACCGTCTCTATGCTGATGATTCTTAAATCCACCTATCCTGCCTCAAACTCTCTGCTAACCTCCAATCTCACATCTTCAACTGCCTCTCATACACCATGAACTGGGTGTCCAGTAGAATTTCAAATGGTAACCATTATCTTTGCCTCTAAATTCCCCCCTCCTCCCACCTTCTGTAACTGTTGAGAAAAACACTATCTTCCCAGTCCCTCAGGCTTACAACCTAGAAGTCAACCTAGATTCCTCACTGTCTTTCACACCCTCTACCCCTCCAATATCCAAGCTGTTGTCAAGGCCTATCGATTTCACCTTCACAACATCTTTCCAATACACCTCCTTTTCTCCTCTGACATTGCCTCTCGGGTGCAGGCCCGTATCACCTCACACCTGGACTATTTCAGTAGCCTGCTGGTAGGTCTGTTTGCCTCAAGTCTCTCCCCACTCCAATCCATCCTCCATTCAGCCACTAAAGTGATTTTCCTAAGTTGCAGGTCCACCTTATAAACTCCAGTGGCTTCCTATTGCCTCCAGGATCAAGTACAAAATGATCTGTTTGGTATACAAAGCCCTTCAGAACCTAGCCCCCTCCTAACTTTCCAGTCTTTTTATACCTTGCTCCCTAACACATACTCTTTCATCTAGTGACTTTAGCCTTGTGGCTACTCCTCAAATAAGATGCTCCAGCTCTCAGCTCTGGGTATTTTCTCTGGCTCTCCCCCATGCCTGGAATGTTCTCCCTCCTCCTCTCTGACTACTGACCTCCCTGGCTTCCTTTAGGTCCCGACTAAAATCCTATCTTCTACAGGAAGCCTTCCGCAACCTCTCTTAATTTCAGTGTCTTCCCTTTGTTAATTATTTCCCATTGATCCCGTATGTATTTTTGTTTGTTGTCTCCTCCATTAGATTGTAAACTTGTTGAAGGTAGGGACTGTCTTTTGCCTCTTTTTGTATCCCCAGAGCTTATCACAGTTCCTGGCACATAATAGGCATTTAATAAATGTTTATTGACTGGCAGAGATTCTGAGAAGGGGTCCATAGGCTCTACCAAACTGCCAAAGAGATCCATTAAAAAAAGTTAAGAACCTTTGACTTAAGGGGAACATAATAACTGTCTTCAAGTACTTGTAGAGCTGTGGTATGAAATTTCTTCCCCTTGAAGAAATTCAGAAGTTTTGGTAGTTTCGGAAAGGAAGGTTTCTGCTCTAAGGAAAGAAAAGCTTCCTAACAATTAGAACTACTCAAAAATGCCACCGTCCGCTTCAAAAAGTAGTGAGTTTCAGAGCAGCTAGGTGGCGCAGTGGATAGAGCACCAGCCCTGGTGTCAGAAGGACCTGAGTGCAAATCTGGTCTCAGACACACTTGACATTTACTAGCTGTGTAAACCTGAGCAAGTCACTTAACTCCATTGCCTATCTAAAAAAAAAAAAAGTAGTGAGTTTCCTTCCCTAGACATCTTCAGGGGGATAACTGTGATATCTTGCCTAACCTCTCGGATTTGGAGGCTCTCTCAGACACATAAGATTCACCTGTAGCAGGCTTCCTCTGTTCTAGACCCACTGCCAGGCACCCTTTTCTGGAAACTTCTATATGCCATGGTTACTTTCTTTATTTGAGCATCTCCCTGCCTGTGACATCAGATTGGAATCCAGCTGAGACCCCCCTCCCTAGAAAACACATGAGCTTTGCTGTTCTTATGATACTTCCTGAGGAGTATGGAGGCAAACTTGATGGAATGTGGTAGGCCAAGCTCAAGAGCAGTCTTTCGGGTTGACTGAATATTCTGGAGAAACACCCTATCAATGACTGAGCTTCAGTTGTATCTACCCTCTCCAGCAGCTAAAACCTGGTAGTATTGGTATTAAAAATTTTGAGCTGGAAGGGATCTTAAAGAATTTCTAGTCCAACCTTCCCTTCCTCATTTTACAAAGAGGGAAGCTGAGGTGTAAAGAGGTTAAGTGCCCTTCCCAGGTCACAGTAGGATTTGAATCCAGGTCCTTTGATTCCAAATCTAATGTTTTCTCTTTCCATCATGCTGCTTCTGCCCCAAACTTCCCTCCCTTGTTATATGTTCCTCCATCACTTGACTCAACTTGTCTCATTTTAAGGCTAGAGTCTTCCCTTGTGTTAGTTAACCTTACACACTTGCACTTACACACTTCGTTTCCTTACACACTCTTGGCCTGTCTGATTTTCTTTTGGGTCCCAAAGTTTCCACACTAGTGGCTCTGACTGTGATATTAGCAGCTTATCTACCTGTCTTAGCGTAAATTTTTATTCAGGTATGGATTGGACCCTGTGGCCTCAGAAGTGGAATTTTTTTTTTCACTGAAATTCCATGATTCTGTAGTTTTGGAGACAAAGTTCTCAGCTTCTTTCAGCTGTTTCTTTATCATTGTAATTGCCACACTGAGGGGGAGAAATGACCTTCCCCCATAGTAGATAAGAAGTGATGGGGAGGAAAAGAGAAGCCTTTGAGTCCAGGAAGCAGGAAAGGATGGAGTTATATGGGCTCTCCTTTCTCTTCTCTCACAACAGATAATATTCAAATTAAGATAGCAATTAAACGTAGGAATCTCAAACTCTCATCCTTATCTAGGTCCAGATGCGTAAAGCCCATCCCCAAGTCACATAATCCTTTATCTAGTTATTCAGATGAATTTGCGATGGATTTAATAAGTCTTTGTAAAGAGAAATAAAGATTCCAACAGTAGATATTTGTCCAAATGAATCTGTGATACAGACTTAGAGTAAGCATGCAGACTACACATGTATAACCTATGTCAAATTGCTTGCCTTCTCAATGGGGAAGGGGGAGGGGAGGGAAGTAGAGAATTTGGAACTCAAAATTTCAAAAAAGAATGTTAAAATTGTTTTTACATGTAATTGGGGAAAAATAAATTATAAATTATAAAATTTATATATATATAAATTATAAAATAAATTAAAATAAAAATAAATTACTGAGTCAAAAAAAATGTAAGCATGCAATTTGAGTTGGAAATTACTAGTTCAGGGGATGAGATGTGACTGAAATCTCAGTGCTAAGTCATTGATTCCTCTGTTGTATTCTGTGTCCTCAGCATATCAAGCAGCTTTAGCTCTGGGTCAAGACCCATCCAATGATTGCAATGACAGCCAAAGAACTGTCCGAATTGTGGCTCAGAGGCGTGGGCAGAATGAGCCAGTTTTGGGTGTGGAGTACCGGCAGCGCAAGATTACTATCCAGAACCGTGAGTGACCCACGAAATGTCTAGAGTTAGCAGCTGAGAAAACTGAGGAAGGGACAGCTAGGTGGTGCAGTGAATAGGGCACTGACCCTGGAGTCAGGAAGACCTAAATTTAAATCTGGCCTCAGACTCTTGATACTTACTAACTGTGTGACCCTGGGCAAGTCACTTAACCCCAGTTACCGTGGGGGGGGATAAAAGACTGAGAAGTAGATCCCAATGAGCACAGTGACCTAATAGTAACCCAAATGGCCAAATCAGACTGTGTTTCCCTTTTTCAATTGAGTGTAGTCAGACTCTTTGATTTCGGTTGTGTTGGTTTGAGTTAAGAGCTCAAGTGCAGGATCTGGAATCAGAAATACCTGACTTCAAATCTTGTCTCAGGCATATTTATTAGCTGTGTGACCCTGGGCAAAGCATTGGAGCCCTAGTTTCTTCATCTGTAAAAATGAAGGAGTTGGATTCAATGGTGTCTAAGGTCTCTTCTAGCTCTAAATCTATGATCCTGTGAATTCATTTTACAGGTGAGAAAACTGAGGCCCAGAGAGGGTCAATGACTTGCCCGCTGGCAAGAACCAAAGGTGCTGAAGATTCTGGAGAAGGGACCCTATGAATGACTGAGACTCAGTTGTATCTGCCCTCTCCAGCAACTAAAACCTGGTAGTGTTGGTATTATAAATTTTGAACTGGAAGGGACCTTAAAGAATATTTAGCACAACCTTCCCTTCCTCATTTTACAGAGAGAGAAATTGAGGCCTAAGGAGGTTAAGTGACTTACCTGGGTTCACACAAATGGTAAATATTAGCAGTAGGATTTGAATCCATGTCCTTTGATTCCAAATCCAATGTTCTTTTTATGCATCATGCTGCTTCTGCCCCAAACTTCCCTCCCTCATGGTGTTTGAAACCTGGCTCTCTGCCTCCAAATTCGTTCTTCTTTCCATCTTACCACACTGGTTTAATATTCCTGGTACATTGTAGGTACTCCTTAATTATGTGTCAAATAAATACATAGAGAGGCAAATCCTCTTAAGGGATAAAACTCCTTTACTTCTAGAGGATGTAGAAGTAAACGAACTATATGAAGGTTGATACTTTACAGATACAAAGTCATTAAATCCAATTTGAGTTGGTTTAACTTGTCAATCTGATTCTTCACATCTGGGGGCCTTTTTCTTCCCAGAGGAAGAAAAACTCTTAACATCAGTCCATTGGGGTGACTCAGTCTTTACCTTCTGGGTAAACCCCTGATTTCAGATTGGAAACTACCCTCCTCAAGGTCTCCTGAGCCCCAATCTGATTGTTTTCCTGTATTGCAGGTATTTAACAAGTCAGTGTGGCATCACAGAAAGGTTCTGAAATAGGAGACCTAGACTTGAATTAGATCCTAGATACTCACTGCCTATGTGACCTTGGGCAAAAGCATCACCTATCTGGGCCTCAGTTTTCTCATTTATAAAATAGGGATAATTTACAACATCAACCTCACTGAATTCTTATAAGGAAATCATAAAGGCTATAAAACAATATATGAATTATTGTTGTTGTTGTTGAGAAGTGAATAGACAGCCAGCCTCAGAACCAGGAAGACCTGGTTTAAGTCCCTTTCCTGATGCGTGCTGACTGTGGGACCTAGGTAAGTCACTTAACATCTCACTGCAGCTCTCTAAGTCCCAGAAAAGATGCTGACTTGCAGTATGGAGAGAGTTTCCACATTTCGATGTTCCCTTTTAACTAATGAAATCCAAAGTCCACTTCCTATCTACCGCTGTCTTTATTGTCATAACCTTTGCGCCGGAGGCTCTCACATGACAAAGTGCCCTGGTGCATTTTGTGGGGTTTCCCATCTCTCTGACTGGTTGTCCTCACCTAGAGAATCTGAGAAATTCATATGTGTGGTCATCCAGTGAGCTGGTACTTTACAGTGTGTTGTTTCCAATTCTCCTCGCCAAGTACATGTGTCACAAAATTCAGAAAAGAAAAGCTTCATTTATAGACTGAAAAATATAGAGAGTTCAGAGAAAATAAAAGCATCTGATGCCGGTGGGCCGCTCTGCTCTCTACTCTCGATAACCTCAGTCAATCATGTACGTTCGTGTATTAGCTAGGACTTCTACCAGCATTGCCTCTCTTGGCTCGTCCAAGGCTGGCATGGCTTTCCGGATAGCTCCCATCAGCTGGTCTTGGTCTTACTCCCTATTGTTCCTCTGGCATTACTAGACCTTAGCCAGGAACAAACCCATTTGTGTCTTGGGTCCTGTCCTAACACTATAGAAAAGTTTACCATTCTCAGCAGGAAATCAGTCCAGCGACAGCCCTGAGACCTCTGCTCAAGATTCTCTCCCTTGCATTAATGCTCCTCTCACCAATCTCTGCCTTCCCACTGCTCAGGGGTGTTTCCTCTGTCTTTTTCATTTCTAAGTCTCTGGTGTAAGTCATCAGTACTAGGTTAGTACACTCTTAACTCCAATGCCTGATGTTCTCTTTCCTTCTGGCATCTCAATGGAGTGTCTCCCACCTAAGAGAGTGCTCTCTGTCAGTTCAAAGCTTAACAAAAGCATCCCCATTGTTTCTTCTAGGCCCCTTTGGTCTCCAGGGTCCTTGAGCTCGTCCTTTTGACTGAATCCAAACTTCTCAGAACAAATCCTTTTATTAAGGAGATTTGTTCTGTGAAGTTTGGATTCAGGCAGAGAACCCAGCTTGGGGAACTAGAGGGCCACATGTGGCCTTGGGGCTGCAGGTTCCCTACCCTGCCTAGGCTCTTGGGCCTCTCTCTTCTTATACCAAAATTCTACAGATTCTTTCACTGCAATAAAAAAGGGTACTAAACTTTGCCCTCAAAAGGTCTGAGTTCAAGCCCTGGCTCCAGTACTCACTATCTCAGTGATCTTAGGCAAATCACTTAATTCTCTGATTCTCAGTTTCTTGATCAGCAAAAAGAATTCTACTTATACTCCCTGCCTTACAGGGCTGTTTTAGTGCTTTGTAAACCGTCAAGTGCTATAGAAATGAGAGCTATAATCATCATCATCATCATCATTATTCAGATCTGGTCCTTCCATTGTATTTACATGGAAATGGTACTGGAGCCAAGATGGTGGAGTAGAAGAAGCACTCAGCCAACCTTTCCCAACATTCCACTCCAAACAACTTTAAAATAAAAACTCAAATCAAGATCTGGAGTGGCAGAGACAACAAAAGATCAGGGTGAGACATTCTTCTAGCCCAAGAGAACTTATGGGGTTGGAGGGAGAGATCTGTGACATGGGGTAGAGGCTGGACCACAGCCCGTGTAGACACAACACCAGTGGTGGGGCTTGGTGGTGGCAAGCGAAGCACAAGCAGCTTTGGGAGCTCTCAAGCCAGAGATGGTAAAGGAATCTGGTGAATGGTCAGAAAGAGATTACAAGGTACCTCTGTGCTAGCCCTGGATGCAGCACTGAAGCTATTTGGCAACTCCATTGCCTATAGTCGCTTCTCAGTCACAAGTCAGGGGTGGAGAGGGGCACTTTTGGTTACAAGGAAGAAGGGGCCCTGAGGAGCACTATTACTTTGGGTCCCAAGGAATCAGGGCCCCTTCCTCAGTAAGGGCCAGAGAGCAGACCAGGAGAGCAGTAACTATATCTCTTCCCATATCACCCCATCTTGGAATCACTGAAAACTTCTAAACCCCCAGAGCTGCTCTGTCAAAAAACAAAACCAAAAAAAAAAAAACCAATGTGAAAAAGCCTGAAGCTTGAGACAATGCCCCTGCCTCTTCCCTATCCTCTTCCCCCCTCTCCCCGGGAGAACAGAGACCAACTTTAACATAAATTCAAAGTCAAGACATAGGCTGGAAATATAAGCAAGTAACAAAAACTGAAACTGACCATAAAAAGCTACTATGGTGACAGAGAAGAGTAAAATACAAATTTAAAAGAAGACAATAAAGTCAAAATTGCTACAAGCAAAACCTCAAAGAAAAATGTGAATTGGGCATGAGCCCAACAAGAATTCCTGGATGAGGTTTAAAAAAATGATTTTTAAAATCAAGAGTGGCAGAGCAAAAATTAGGTAAATGAGAATAGGGGAAGAAAATTATGAAAAAAAGACAATTTATGATAAAAGAGGCACAAAAAATACCAAAGAAAATAGAAAACTTCACTCATGAAAATAACTCCTTAAAAATTAGAATGGGGAGGGTGCAGCTAGGTGGCCCAGCAGATAAAGCTCTGACCTTGGGGTCAGGAGGACCTGAGTTCAAATCTGACCTCAGACACATAACACTTACTAGCTGTGTGACCCTGGGCAAGTCACTTAACCCGGATTGCCTCATGCCCCCAGAAAAAGAAGAAGGCAAAAAACAATTAGAATTGGTCAAGTGGATGCTAATGACTCCATGAAACATTAAGAAATAATAAAAGAAAATCAAAAGAAGAAAAAAAAGAAGAAAATGTGAAATTTCTCATTGGAAAAAATGATTTGGGAAATAGATTGAGAAGGGATAACTCAAGAATTATTGGATTACCTAAAAGCTAAGATCAAAGAAAATGCCTCAACAGTATAGTTCAAGATTTTATAAAGGAAAACTGCCCTGAAATCCTAGAGCCAGAGGGTAAAATAAAAATTGAAAAAAAATCCATTGAGCAACACCTGAAAGAGATCTCAAAATGAAAACTCCAAGAAATATAATAACCAAATTCTGGAGCTTCTAGATCAAAGAAAAAATACTTCAAGCAGTTAGAAAAAAAGCATTCAAATATCACAGGGCCACAGTCAGGACCACACAAGATTTAGTATCTATCACATTAAAGAATCAGAAGGCTTGAAATATATTCCAGAAGGCAAAAGAGCTAGAATTACAACCAAGAATAATCCAACAAAACTGAGTATAGTCCTTCAAGGGAATAAATAGTTCAAATATATATATACATATGTATATATATATATATATTTACAGCTTACAAGACACCGTCATAACAACCTTATAATTTTTAGTATGGGCAGTTAGGTGACACAGTGGATAGGGTGCCAGACCTGGAGTCAGGAAGACTCCTCTTCTTGACTTTCAAGTCCAGCCTGACACTTACTAGCTGTGTGACCCTGGGCAAGTCACTTAACCCTGTTTGCCTCAGTTCCTCATCTGTAAAATGAGTTGGAGAAGGAAATGGCAAACCACTCTAGTATCTCTGCCAAGAAAACTCCAAATGGAGTCACAAAGAGTTGGACACAACTGAGACTGCTGAACAATAAAAACAATTATTAGTATCCCTCTTTTATTAATAAGGGTTATCAGATGGAGCTAGGTGGCATGGGGATAAAGTGCTAGGCCTAGAGTCAGGAAGACCAGAGTTCAAATCCAGCCTGAGACACTTAGTAGCTGTGTGACCCTGGGCAAGTCATTTCACCTCTTACTGCCTCAGATTCTTCATTTGTAAAATGTGAATATGATAGCAAGTAGCACCTATCTCACAGGACTGTTATGAGAATCGAATGACATTTGTAAAATGCTTTACAAACCTTAAAGTGCTATACAAGTATTAGCTATTATTATTTTTACTATTATTATTTTTATTATTATTGAATGGAAATTAAGGTTCAAGAGATGTTAAATGACCCGTCTATAATCATGTAGCTACTAAGCCTCAGAGACAAAAGGTAGTTAGGAGGATCAAAGGAGATTTTTCTTTTTCTTTTCATTTTTTTGGGAGGTCCAGACCAATGATTTCACCAGTATAAGGACTTCCTGGCATGGAAACTCTCCTCCCAATATAGATCAACCACTGCTCTGCAACTTCTGATCTTAGAGAGTTACCAAGGGTACTGAGAGATTAGGTAACTTATTCATAATCAGATCATAGAAAGACCTGAACAGAAGTCTTCCCGATTTCAGGACTTGCAATTATATCAGGCTGCCTCTCCTAAATGACATCTACGTTTGATTAAAAAAAAAACCACTTTGCAAATTGTAGAATATTATGCAAATGTGGGGTATTATGTAAACACCTGGTTTATATCGTTCAGTCATTTTTCAGTAATGTCTGACTTTTCATGACCACATTTTTTGGGTTTTCTTGGCAAAGATATAGGAGTGGTTTCCCATTTCCTTCTCCAGTTCATTTTACTGATGGGGAAACTGAGGCAAACAAACAGAGTTCAGTGACTTGCCCAGGATCACATAGCTTGGAAATGTCTGAGGCCAGATTTGAACTCAGGAAGAAGAGTCTTCCTGACTCCAGGCCCAGCACTCTATTATTGCGCCACCTAACCCCTCTCTTAGTATATATGAATGAGGTACTGACTAAATGTTGAATTTGTTGGACTCCAACCATTGTACACTAATATTTATTGACCTAAATGAAGCACCACAGAAGTGGATTCTCACCCAAGTTTAGATCTTTGGGGTATCTCTTTAAGATCATGGGACTTTTAAGAGTCAACATGACATATTGGATAGGCCCCTAGACTAAGAGTCAAGAAGATCTGGTTTCAAATCCTGCTTAATAAACTGTGTGACCCTGAGCAAGTGAACCTCCTTGTGCCTCAGTTTCCTATAAAATGAGGGTGTTAGGCTCAATGGATCTAATGTTCCTTCCAGCTCTAAATCTGTTCTCCTATAATCACATGAAGTCCATAGAGGCAGCTAGTTGGTATAGTAGATAGAACTCTGGGCCAGCAGTCAAGAAGACCTGAATTCAAATTTGGCATCAGATACTTCCTACCTGTGTAACCCTGGGCAAATCACTTAACTTCTCTGTGCCTCGGTTTCCTCAACTGTAAAATGGAAATAATGATAGCATCTACCTCCCAAGGTTGTTGTGAAGATTAAATAATAATATTTATAAAGTGTTTAGCACATTGCCTGGAACATAGTAGGCACTTGATAAATGCTTATTTTCTTCCTTCCTTCTAAGAAAGAAAGCTTTTATTTATTACTAATTATTTTATTATTAATTAATGTATTATTAATGTATTAATAATAAGACTTGTAAGCTCTTATTACTAAGAGTTCTTTTTATAGGTGTGGAAGCTGAGACGCAGAGAAATTAAGAGATTAGCCCACAAGGTCACTCAGGTAATAAGTAGCCAAATTGTAGGTTTTAATTTTAACCCTTTAACCCCAGATGGAGTGTGGTTTTCTCTGTACCAAAATGTGTCTTTTACATAGATAACTTTCACTTTCAAAATACCTTCTGCTCAGGTCAACAAATATGTATTGAGTCTGTACCGTGTGTTAGGGGAGTAAGGTGGTCTTTGCCCTCTGAGACCTCACAAGCTAGTTAGGAAAGATAGTAATCTACTCAAGAACTGAGCACACTTCTCCCTGTTAATGAAGTTCAGTAATCTGTATGCCTTCAGGGTCTGACATTCTCCTCTCAGCGTATGCTTTTTGTTTAAGACTTTTTTCATTTGTTCAGTCCTTTCTGACTCTTTGGGAACCTCTTTTGGGTTTTTCTTGGCAAAAATAGTTATTTACTATTTCTTTCTCCGGCTCATTTTACAGATGAGGAAACTGAGGCAAACGGGGTTAAGTGCCTTGCCCAGAATCACACAGCTAGCACGCACCTGAGGCTGGATTTGAAGTCAGATCTTCCTGACGCCAGACCTACTGCGCCACCTAGTTGCCCTTCGTTTAAGACACTGTTGGCAAAGCAAGTGTTGTCAGAGCATAGTACAGGGTAAAGAATACTGATTCTGATGTCAGAGGACCTGGGTTCAAATCCCATCTCTGATCCTTACTACCTTTGTGATTTTGGGCAAGTCACTTAGCCCTTTCTGGTCATCAGTTCCTCATCAATAAAATGAGAGGTTGGACTATATAATGGTCCTTTCCAGAAATTTTTTTTCTGCTGCGTTCAAAGAAAAAGGAGAGTAAAGGCTTGAGAGAAAATATTTTTTTAAGGAAAAAGCCCAGGGTGTGAGAGATTGTTACAGGATTTGGAAAGACAATTTAGAAGATTCAATCTCTTCTCCTGACTAGCCTGTTTCCTCTCTTCCTCTTGCTTCATAGGAGCAGATCTTGTGATTAATGAGGTGATGTGGTGGGACCATGGAGTCTATTACTGTGCCATCGAGGCTCCAGGGGACACCTCAGGAGACCCAGATAAGGAAGTGAAGCTCGTTGTTCTCCGTAAGTCCTGTGTTTTCTTTCCTCTGTGGCTGTCTGTCACCAATCCCTTTTTTTTTTTTTTTTTTTTTGGTGAGGCAGTTGTGGTTAAGAGACTTGCCTAGGTCACACAGCTAATGTCAAGTGTCTGAGGTCAGATTTGAACTCAGGTTGTCCTGACTCCAGGGCTGGTGCTCTGTCCACTGTACCACCTAGCTGCCCCCGATACCTTTTTTTTTTTTTAAAAAAAAACCTCAAAGACAGGTCTACAGATAGATTTCAAGGAGTCTGTAAATATGGATGAAAAAAAATTACAGTTTGATTTCAATATAATTGGTTTCCTGAGAAATTACATGTATTTTATTTTATGCATTTAAAAGCATTATTCAGAGATGGATCCATAAGCTTCACCAGACTGCCAAAGCGACCATGACACAAACAAGAGTGAGAACTCTTGCTCAAAGGTCAGGCTCATGGAATGGTTAGGTGTAGCAGTATCCTCATTTAGTGTTAGTGTGTACCTCACCCCAGCTTAGAAAGGAAAACTTATGTTTAGTGCATAGATCAGAGCAAGAGCTGGAAGGAACCTCAGATACCCTTAGCCCAACACTAGTTTTTTAATGTAACTTTTATTTTATATTCTTTTTTTTCAATTAACAAATATATATCCCTCTCACATACCCCCATTGGAAAAAAGAAAGGGGGAAGGAGAAAGAAAAGGAAAGGAAGACAAAAGGCTTGCAACAAAAGTACAGTCAAATAAAACAAATTCCTGCCTTGGCCACGTCCATAAAAAATCTATGTCTCATTGTGCATCTTGAGTTTATCACCTCCAGCTCAAGAGGCTAGTAGCATGCTTCTTCATCAGCCCTTGGGCATCATGCTAATCCTTTGATTTTACAGAGGAGAAAACTGAGGCTCAGAGATGTTAAGAGCCTTGCTTAAGGTCACATGGGTAATAACGGTCAGAGGCAGGACTTGAAGCCAGGTGCTCTGTCTACTGTATCACGTTTCCCATAGAATTTTGGGAAGGGACCTTAGAGGTGGTCTAAGACAATGCCTAGTCATTTCACAGTTGAAGAAACAAAGACCCATAAGGGTGAGGTGACATCTCCAAAGTTGTATAGGGAGTTAATGGCAGAAATGAGACTAGAACCTAGGTGTCCAGATTTCCCTACATTACTGCCTCCTACAGAGTTCAAACTGAGTATCCTATTTAAAAAAAGGAAGTTTTATAATAATAATAATCCTGAAGGTGTTTCCAATGAGCCTACACAAGATGAGTTTATACTCAGATACTTTTATTAAATTACAAAAAAAAATAGCCCCTTTATCCACCTATGCAATAGTCACAAAATATTTTTTTAATTTTTAATAGCTTGATAATGACTTTTCCCAGGATAATTTCTATCTGAACTCCATTGAAAAAAGATGAATAATAATTGCAGTAGCTACTTTTTAGGTAATTCAGGCATGATTATCTCCATTTAAAATTTAAGTAAATGTACTCAGTTCAAGTGACTTGCTTGAAGTAACACAGGCATTTTGAATGCAAATCCTTTGTCCTTTCTACCATACCACCAAGCCAATGTGGTCAGGGTAGAAAAATGCAAAAGGGAAAACAAAGAATTACAGGAGGTCCCCAACTACTAAGTGCCGTAGGTAGTGGTTAGAGCTCTGGGGCTTGAGGTCAAGAGACTTGGGTTCCAGTGCCATCTCAGATACTGACTAGCTATGTCATCAGGGGCAGGTCACTTAACCTCTCATTTCCTCATTTGTTAAATGGAGATGATACTTCTAATATCTTCCCCTCCGGGTAAGTGTGAGGAAAACACTTTCAAAATTTTATAGAACTTAGCTAAATATATTATGTAGCTATGTAATTTGGAATCATATTTAACTATATAAATTGGAGTCATTCAATAAATTAGTCAATCAACAGGCATTTATTAAATGCCAGTATCATGCTAGGCACTTGAGACACAAAGACAAAAAGGAAAAGAAAAGAAACTTTATATAATAATAATTGTTAATTTATGGTTTTGTGGTCCCAAAGTTCATTTGTAAGCCAGTTATTTCGAACTCAGAACACTTTTTTCCTTAGAAAAATTGTTACAGGTGGTGGTTAAGTTCCTAAGTTGTCTATTAAAGACTTTTTATAGTACATAATGTACTTCCAATACTGTTTAACTGTCATGAAAATAGTACAAAATAATGCTGCAGCATGCTAGTAATTTTTTTAAAGTAGAGATACAGTGCAATTGAATAAGAAAATTTCTAGGTGAGTAACCTGAGGTCCAGAGAACTTACATGACTTACATGTAATCATACTTTAAATGTTTCTATATTCTGTCTCCTTGGCTCAGTCCTGGGCCTTCCAACTATTTTCCACCAGCTTAAGGAGAACTGATGGCCCATCCCTGCCCTAATGTTACTGGCACCTCTAAGCAGTAGGAATGGCATACTCATCTCAGAAGGATCTTTATAGGAGATAAGAGAAAGGCAAGTGAAAAGGACATAGGAAGAAGTTGGGTCAGAGTTAGTCAGTCAATCCAGCATTTATTAAGTGCCTACTATATACCAAGCATTGTGCTAAGTGCTGGGGATACAAAGAAAGGAGAAAGGATGGCCCCTGCTCTCAAGGAGCTCATAATCTATTGGGGGAAACAATATGAAAACAACTATGTAGATAAAGGAAAGATATTAGCCTCAAGGGAGATCAGAAAAGGCCAGAAGATAGGATTTTAGCTGGGATTTGAAGGATGCCAGAGAAGGAAGGGAGATGAGGAGGAAGACCATTCCAGGTGTGGGGAATAGATCATAGGGGCATAGGGTTATAGATTTGTAACTGGAAAAGTTCTTGGAGGTCATTGAGAACAACACCTTATTTTCTAGATGGAAAATCTGAGGCTGAGAGAGATTAAGTAACTTATCCAGAGTCACATAGCTATGTCTGGAAATAGAAAAAAAGAGTATGATGGAAAGTTGGGGGAAGTGTCAATTATTGGGGAGGATTGTGGTTGTGTTGTGTGGTTTGTCCTTTGTTCTCAAAAAGGACCATGACATCAAGGAGATGATGACTTGACTTGCAAATGACTTTGATTCAAGGGAGGGAGGGCTGTGCAAAGTCACCAGCCTCACTTTCTCTTCCAGAGCCATCTGGGTCAAGTGGCCAGATATCAATCAGGACAACTGGAGATGGCTCAGGATGCAGTGGGGGACCTTGGCCCTTTTAAGCTCAGGTCTTTTCAGGTTCTCACTGTAAGTGAGGCAACACCCATTCAGTCAATATGCCTCCTTAAGAAGTGAGTCAAAGGGATGGCCCCTTTAATAAAAAAAAAAAAGTCAAACTGGGAGGGCAAGACCCTCAGGGTTGCTGGCCAAAAGAGAAACAGTTACTATTTACAATCACTCTGAGCCTGGAGGGCCCAAAAAATAACCATTAATAGTGGTTGGTCAGGGACCTGTTGTCCAAACTATGAAATCAAGAGTGAATTGCGTTTAAGGCTTGGTCTTTAAGAAAGAAATGTAGGAGATGAGGGGAGGGGATGAGCTGAGTTGCCCAAGGGAAACTGGCCAGCTGGGTCCCCATCCAGGCAGTTCAGACTACTCACTGGTTGTGGTTTGTCCTTCCTTCTTGAAGAGGACCATGACATGACTTACAACTGACTTTGATTTGAGTGAAGAAGACTATGCAAAGTCACCAGCCTCACTTTCTCCTCCAGAGCCACTGAGTCCAGTGGCCAGATATCAATCAGGATGACTAGAGATGGCCAAGGATGCCATTGGGGAGGGACATATTTGGGGCTCCCTTGCTTTCCCTTGTGCCTGCTCCTTCTGTCTCTAAATCACCCTTTTTAAAAAAAATTAAGGTAAATTAAAATTATTTCAATTAACAAGTATTTCTTTTAATTTTTAATGAATAAAAAGTAGTTTTCTATTCCAGCTCCTTCCATTACAAAAAAAAAGGAAAAGAAAAACAAACCCTTGTAATAAATATATATTGTCAATCTGCATAAGCCACATCCTAAAAATCTATATCTCATTCTGTGGCCCAGGTCTAGCACGCTCTGTTAGGAGGTGGGTATCACAATGGCTTTGTTGGTCCTCTTCAATTTTGTGAACCATATTGTCCTGATATGAAATTGTTTTTTCACGCTTGGGTTGCCCATGGAGTCATCATGCTAGGGAAATCATAGGGTTTTCCAGCATAGAGAGCAAAGGCCTGGAGTGGGCACCTCTGTGTATAACTAACTGGCTCTGACTTGCTCCCTGCAGACTGGCTGACGGTGATTTTCATCATCCTTGGTGCCATCCTATTCATCGTGCTGGTCAGTGTGTGTTGGTGCCAGTGTTGTCCCCAATATTGCTGCTGCTATGTCCGCTGTCCTTGCTGTCCAAGAAGGTGCTGCTGCCCCGAGGAAGGTGAGGGGTTTTCTGGGGAATAACTTTCCTAGGCACACCTGCCCAGTAGCCACTTAGTAAAGAAATTAGCTTTCTTTCTTTCTTTCTTTCTTTCTTTCTTTCTTTCTTTCTTTCTT